CGGTTCAACAAATACCAAATTTTGTTTGCTGTCAATATTGTTCCTCTATTACACTAAATTTTGTTGGTCAGTGTGTCATCAAAATGATGTAAGATTTTTAGCTAATTATCATTTTTCTATTTATATTGGGAGCTAATTTTTCTCTCTTTATATTCTTGAAAATTCTTATCTTTACTTATGTTAATATAATATTCTCTTTTTTTAATCAAATATAATATTTATTTGATGATTGAATTCATAAAAAAACAAATAGTATAATATCAAATTAATATAATCATAATTAAATATAGATAAAATCGTTTTCAAAAAAAAATATATTATCAATTATATATATATTGTAAATAAATAAAGTCAGAATATTTTGATATTAAGTATAAATTTAAAAATTTACACTAAATCTTACTTTTTGTATTTTTTTATATAATATAAATTTAATAATTCAACCAAATTATGTGATATTATTACACTTAAAATTATGTATATTAGGAGTATTTTTTTTTCAACAGGGAAAAATTTATAAGAAATCTTTTAACTTCCTATTTAATTTGATTTCTACTTGTCATAATTATTTATGAACTAGATTTTAATATTTTAAAATAAATTATCATCAAATGAAAATAATTTTATACTATAAGAAATTATTCATTATAAATTTAAAAATTTATATGTCTAAAAATATCTATTTATACAAATTTTAAATATAATTTATGTATTCAAATATGAAATTGATTTGTATATATAATTTACTATATTAGTTATACATTATATATAATGAATATTTAGGTTAAATATTACACAAACTAAAAAGATATTTAGTTATAATGAATGCTAGCATAAAAAAGATATTTCTTGACTTAATTATATGGAGTGTAAATGAGTTTAGAATTACAAAGGTTAAATTACAAAGAAAACATTAAAAAAAAAGATTACGCAAGAAACAACTAAATCGGATTCTCACTCGCGACTTTTGGATCTTTTAAATTTCGCAATCCCGCGCCTGCGAGGGAAAACCAAAACAAAATGCAAAAACAAATCCCCTCCGTCCAAAAAGATCCAACGGTCCACGTCAGCGATCTGCATCCTACCCCTCCCAACCAATCAAATCCCAGCGAAACAACCTATATATACAAGAACACACACCAAATCCCTCTCATCACAAAATCCACAACCTCTCCATTGTCTCATACAACCTTCAAGCGAAATTCCAGCAATGGCAAAGGGAGCAGAGAAGAAGCCAGCGGAGAAGGCTCCGGTGGAGAAGAAGCCGCGAGCGGAGAAGAAGATTCCGAAGGAAGGCGGCGCCGACAAGAAGAAGAAGGAAATATCATTAACCAACGTATCCTTACAGCCAGATACAAACATTTTTTCTAATTAATTTTTATATATAATTTAAGTATTTATTTTATTTTATTTTTATAATAAAATAAACATGTTTAAGTGTTATTTATTTTTTATTTGATAAAATATTTTTTTGTAGTCTTTGTTACGGAGATTATAGTTTTTTCTCTTATGAAAAAATATTTAAATAGAATTTTTTTAATTTTTTTTAAATAGTCTTTTTATTTTTTATTTTTATTATTTTAATGTTAAAAGTTATATGTTGTGTAAAAATCTGAATACACTTGAACGAGATAAATAAAATGATTTGTGTATGTGTAACATATCAACAAGATTGTGCAGTTGATGAAAATTTAAAGAAATTAATTTGTATTATTTATATCAACAAGATATATCTGCATTTTAATAATTCATTACTTAAAAACTTTATAGTTATACGTATTTGAAAAGGAACAATTTAGGAATAAAATTATTTTTATCACATATTTAACCTATAAAATATAGTTAATAAAAATATCATTTTTTTATTATAAGTTTATGAAGCTTTGTAATAACATGTGAAAATAATGATTAAATATTTGTAATATGGAGTCTTTAATTAAAAAATATATTTAATTTATTTTCATGAAATAATATTTTCTGCTATATATTATTGAACTAATTAACAAAACACACAATTACAATATTTTGCTACTTTAATGTTTATGTATAACTTAGATAAATTCTTATTTTTAAATTTGTCACCGTCACTCACAGCCATGGGAGTTGTTTTGCGTTAATGGAGGCAAGTGCTTTATCTTTGACAAGTCTTTTTTCGTGGACAATTCAGTTCAGATAGATTCTCCTATTGTCCGAAATAGCGACCGATTTTATTCATTTATTAGCGACCGAAATAGCGACCGATTTTATCAGTAGCTACATCAATTTTTTAGCGACCGAATTAGCGACTGATTCATAAAATGTTTTTATTAAATAAATACAAAAAATAGCGACGGAAATTGCTACCAAAAAATTCGGTCGCAAAATTGGTCTCTAGAAGTTAGGAGACCAAAATGTTAGCGACGGATTTTTATTGTCTAGCGACTGATTTTTCGGTCGCTAAATTGCGACGGAAAAAATTTCGGTCGCTATTTGAAATAGCGACCAGGGTTTTAGCGACGGAATTTTTCGGTCGCTATTTCGGTCGCTGAATGTAATAGCGACTGAATTTAGGTAAATAGCGACCGATTTTGGTGGTAGCTAAAACTTGATTTTTTTGTAGTGTACTGACATTCGTGGGCCCTGGACCTTATGGGCCCTGTAAAAACTTACCGTGCTAGGTAATACTTCTTAATCAGCTAATTAACCTTTGATGGTTTATTAACGATAACTAATAGGGATGAGTCGAACCAGGTAACCGATTGGCAATCGGCCACCTGATTCGGCCTTTCGGCGACCGATAAGAAGGTGGCTAAACATCCCTACCCGTACATTTACTATATCTTATTCTATGTATTTTGGATCTTAATCAAGTCTAAATAAATAATTTAACCAATTTTTTAGATTTAGTAAAGACAAAATTAAACTTATTCTAATTTGTCCTTTATACACATGTAATTTTAATATTGAAAAAAATAAAATTTAAGAGTATTAGATCGAGATGCAGTGACCCATATTTTGAAATTAGTTTTATAATTATTAATAGTTATGTATCATATAGATTAATATAAGTAATCTTTCTCATATGATAAAAAAGATGAGTTTTAACTTTTTCAATCTCGAAAGGCATAGTGTCTAGGAGAAAAAAGAATATTTCCAACACTTTTGTAACCACCATCTATACTTGAGTGAGTCTTGGTCTAGTTTTACGCTGTTAACGTCATGAAGAAACTTTGACAGAATAAAAAATAAAAAAAATAAAAAGAACATTGACGTGGCTGACCATGACCAAGATCCATTAATTCAGGAAAAGTCTTCGTTTTTCCTAAACCCTAATTTTTATTTGTTTAACCTAGCAGCCATGATGGAATTCAACATCGAACTTGTTTGGTAACTTCTCACGTAACGGACCATGAAAATGAAACCTTTCATATTTACACCCATCTTTTTTTTTCTTTTTATGCCAAGATAAAATCATATAAAAATCATTCCACCTATCTAAGATTTGTATTTTCCAAAAATGTCGACTATAATGAACCCATATATTATTACTCCAATAAATTCATTAAATTTTATTTAAAAATATTAAATAATAAATAAACTATTATAATGAATAAATATTATTTTAATAAAATTTTATTTTAAAATCATAAAATAATAAATAATTTACTATAGTGAATAAATATTGTTTGAGTAAAGATACTAATATTTAAATATTTAAAGCCATTGTTGCTATAATCTGCTACAACATAAAAAAAAAATTAAAAATGATGAAATTGTTGTAAGTTATTATAACATTTTCTTTTTTGTGTAACTCTAACTTTATATCTAACAATAATATGAAAAATACAGGAGCCAATAATGATTTAAATAATATCATTATTGATTCCAATAACTTTCAATTATAACGTGACATTGAACTCTAACACCATATTCATATAAATACAAAAAAAAAAAAAATGACAAACTGCAGGTGGTGCTTTAACCGACCAAACATCACCTGTTAAACAACTTTAAAAGCGTAATTTATTTTAAACAATCTTTTCTAATAATATGTTTTTAAAACCCACTCACCATTGTTACAACAAAAAAATATCCTAGAGTGCACTACATAAAAATAAATAAATAACACTAAAGTGCAGTCTCTTTTTGCTGGTCCATCGTATATGGAAGCTCCGTGTTGAATGCATCAGGTGGTGAGATCAGCAAGGTGATGTCATTAGTGATGGAATCCACGCGTTTGGACTAAAATCATTGAGTGTGGTGTATAAAAGGGTTCATGGTTTCTTCTTCTTCCTTCGTGCCTTTTCAAAGTAAAGCGTGGAAACACCTTGGCTTAGTTTCTACTCTTTTGGTAGATTGGAAAGGAAGGTTCAATTTGTTGCAATAAAGTGTGTTTTAATTGCCAAAATATAAAGGAACCCATTTGCAGGTGAATTTGGTCCTTCACATCTCCAAATATGGGAGAAGTGGCAGAAGCAAATTATTTCAGATCAGAAATAGCTCTGTTGAACTACTCCGATGCCACCTTCAAACCCCCACTTTCTCCTCTTTTGATCCACATTGATCCCAATGATCACACTTGTTCACCCATTTCGGAACTGCACCCCCAGAACCAACATCCCAAAGATGCCTGGCTTCCTATCACTGAATCCAGAAACGGGAATGCCTTTTTTGCAGCTTTCCATCTTCTTAATTCTAACATTGGATTCCAAGCTCTCATGCTTCCCGTTGCCTTCTCCACTCTTGGTTGGTACGTACCTTGCACATTCACGTGTTCCAACTTTTAATATGTAATATGGAACATGGCACCATATTTAGTTACATCGAATCACTCACTCTCTTTTAACTCAAATAGATGCCCTCCTATCAATTATTTTTTAAACTTACTTAACTAAAAATATATTATTCAATCTTAACAAGTGATAACAAGTTCAAGTCTATGAGTTTTATCATTTATAATAATTACATCATTTGCATCCAATATAAAATATTTGTAATCCACCACAAAGAGGAAAAAAGAATATACTCGTATCCAATAATAAATTATATTTAAGATGGATCGGATTCATTGCAGTTTAATTAGGAGCCCCAAATGAATGAACCTTAATTTCCTTCTAATTCAATTAATTGATGTTTAGTTGTGCACGCATTTGTCAACTGCATATGTCAAGGAACAGGACTTTCTATACAGATTTGTTTTCCACAATTAATATTTCGACCTACCTTTCCCTTGATTTTTAGACATTATATTATTTTGTTGAAAATTCAAACCAACCAGGTCCGAAGTTTCGACTCTGAAGTTTGAACTCCCGTAACATGTTGGATTCAAAGTCTCACTAATATAATTAAGGAAGGCGACCCATGCATGCATGATTCACCTGCACCCAAAGTCAAGTCCTTTTTCAAAACTCAGCTAACTAACATTCTCTACCAGATAAACAATTACGTGAATCATCCGCATACATGCAATCATGAAAAGTCAAGTAGAAACAATAATCAATCATAATATACTGATTACTGAATAATTTGAATGACTTTCAGGGGTTGGGGTACAGTATGTTTGACAGTAGCATTCGTTTGGCAGCTATATGCCACATTTCTTCTTGTTCAACTTCACGAATGCGTCCCTGGAATTCGTCACAGCAGATACCTCTTCCTTGCCATGGCTGCCTTCGGTAAGGACAAATTAATTCCAACTTCATCTCCACCAATAAACACCCACAATAAAATTAAGCTTATGCATTGCATTATCTTTTACTATATTATATATGCATATACACTTGAGATATGCTCTACTATGATTGGCGCTATATCCCATCGGTTCCCGTTAGATTTACTGTATATGGATACAGATGGGAATAATTTTTTTAAATATAAATGTCAAGATTGGTTGGTTGTATTATTTAATACCTGAGACAAGCTTTTCAACATTGGGAAAAGATAAGAAATAATGTTAATTTAAAGGCACGTTGATTTGATTTTGATTTTGTGACGTGGGGGTGGGTGGGTGAAAAAGGAAAGGCTCAGAGTGACTAAATTGTGTTTTGTTACGTATGAAGGTAAAAGGTTAGGAAAGGTGGCAGCATTATTCCCGGTGATGTACCTTTCAGGAGGCACATGCGTCGTGCTTATCATCACCGGTGGTGGGACCATGAAACTCTTATTCAAGACACTTTGCCACAACGATGACGGGGACACGTGTAATGGCCACTCTCTCACGGGGGTGGAGTGGTTCTTGGTGTTCACTTGTGTGGCCATTCTCATTGCACAATTGCCCAACCTCAACTCAATGGCCATGGTTTCTCTCGTAGGGGCCGTTACCTCCATCACTTATTGCACCCTCTTTTGGGTCCTCTCTGTTAAGAAGGGTAGGCCCAACAACGTATCTTATGGATCCTCACTGTCCCATCACTCCACCCCACTCCCTAACATCACTCATGTTCTTAATGCCATTGGAATCATTGTGCTAGCTTTCAGAGGTCATAATCTTTTGCTCGAGATACAGGCAAGTATTCACGTTGCATCATCATGTTTATTTAATTCAGATTCTTTTTCCACCAAAAATTAAAAATTTAAAAAAAAAAGGTAACACTTGTATTGTATGACTATGCCGCAAATTAAATGATACTAACTTAATTATGTACCCAAAAATAAAAACATGTGTTTTTTGGATGTTGATTTTGCAGGGAACGCTGCCTTCAAATTTGGAACAAAGTTCCAAAGTAGCAATGCGCAGAGGTGTGACAGTGTCCTATGCACTAATTAGCATGTGCGTGTTTCCTCTGGCAATTGCTGGATTCTGGGCCTATGGAAACCAGGCAAGCACAATTATTATTTATTTCAAACAATAACCTATAAATTGATCAGTATTATTAATTAAAGACGATTTTTTCCCTTTCATTCATTGCAGATTGATGAAGGAGGATTGTTAACTTCGTTGCCACAACTCCACAAGAGGCAAATAACAAAATTCTCAATGGGTGCAATATACGTGCTGGTAATAATACACTGTTTGAGCAGCTACCAAATCTACGCGATGCCCGTATTTGACAACCTGGAACTAAGATACACGAGCATAAAGAATGAGAAATGTTCAGGATTGGTGAGAACATGCTTACGCATATTCTTTGGGGGGTTGACATTTTTTATAGCAGTCACGTTCCCATTTCTGCCAAGCCTAGCAGCACTGATAGGAGGGATGACTCTGGTGCCAGTCACATATGCATACCCTTGTTTCATATGGTTAGCCCTCAAGAAGCCACGAAAAACAAGTCTTGTTTGGTGCTTCAACGTTGCACTTGGCACCTTAGGGATGCTTCTCAGTGCTCTCTTGGTGGCTGCAGCTATAAGGACTCTAGTTGTCAAAGGCCTACATGCTAATTTCTTCAAACCAAAATAATGCCATTCATCACCAAATTTCTGCCTATGCGACTCACCTTATCCCCTGTATTTAACTAATCTCCGATTATATTAGATTAGATTAGATTAGATATACACAAAATCATTTTTGAAAATGTAAATGTACCAAGCCTTCAGCTGCTCTGCCAATGCTGTTATTTAGATTGTCAAGTTTTCATCTATTATTAATGAAATCGACTATGAACCAACTTTTACCCAAACATAACTTTTTCTTCCCATTGCAACGCAAATTTCTATTTGTCTTTTTTTCACAATATTTTCTTCCCAACTTGTTATAGATGTGGTGAATTTCATGCACTTGTCTCAATCCTCTTTCAACTTTTCCCTGGTGCCTATGCGCATGCATTCCGGAAGGGGGGCTGCGAGAACTTTCATACACTACTTTTGGTGCTATTTATTTATTTTCTTCGATTCTATTACTTTTTCTTTTTTTAATTTTTGGTGTGCTTTTATATCTCCTTCTTCGCGTTTTCCTTTAGGTGTGGGACATGAATAATTCTAGAACTTACAATTAAAAGAGATACAAAACATGCGAGATAAGAATATTGACTAACTTTTTTATATACAATAATGCGACAACGAGTTTTTTTTTTTTTTTTTTTTTTTTAGAATCAAATACTAATGATATGACAGTATTACTGTTATAACATCCAGCTCAATCGCAAAATGAAAATAGAATTATTATGATCTCACTTCAATGGGAAAGCATAGTATGTCACAGATATGAAAGTATATTACACAATTATAGATCTTCCCAACCAATTTTAAAATTAATATTAACTACTTTATCGATTTAAATAATGAAATTACGATAAAAGGCTTTTATTATATTTTATTAAATGGCAATAAATTTTTTTTACACTAGTGGCAAAATAAGTTAAACACTCATTTTATTCAAATTTATTGAAAATTACGAATCTGTTGCAACACTTGTCACTTGCATTCTAAATAATGATTTTATTTATCTATAATTTTATAATTTTCAATACATTTTAACAAATAAAAAACAGGTTAAAGAATAGGTTGTTAACCTTCTTAATTATATCTATTCACCAAACCAAACGTACTATACAAAGTTTTGCATCGGCAATAGAGAAGGAGTTGTCAAATACGACTAGTGGAGGTGTAGAGAAAATACTTGCAGTGTCATGTTTTTAGGTTTGTTTTTTTTTAAGAGTTAATCACTCATATATTATCAGTGTAAAATTTTTACACTGACAACTAATCATATCTTTTAACAATACCATGTCACTTGCTTATTTAATTAAATTAAAGTAAAATAAAATAATTTAAAATATATGATTAGTTACTGGTGTAAAAAAAAATTTACTGGCAGTGTATGGATGATTAACTTTTTTTTTTCTAATGAATTCGTGTCAAGTTTTTTTGGTTTATTCAAAATATGCATTAATGAAAATTCCAACTTCTCTGTGTCCTAGTTTTCAAAATTAAAATGCGAATCTGAAAACGAGAACAAGTTTAAGCTGTTTTCTATTTTTATGGTTTTAGGAACTATAAAAGAGTAGCAATTTAGAAGAGTTTTATAAAATAACTTAAAGAAACAAGTTTCTTTATTTTTTTAAAAAGTTTAATTAATCTTTTAGTCCCTATAATTTTATAAAATTCACATTTTGGTCTCTAAAGTTAAAAATGTTATATTTTATTCTCTATATATATTATTTTTGTTTTCATCTAATCTTTATATTTTATTGTTATAGGGCTTAAAATGGAAAATTATAAAAATATGAGAACTAAAAATAAACGAAAAGAGACTAAAATATAATTTTTTTAATTATTATAACTAAAAAGCAAATTTTATAAATTTATAAGAACTAATAGGGTAATTAACTTTTTAAAAATTTCAAGAACTAAGAACTTTTTTTCAAAACAGTAGTCAAACACATCCTAAAGCTTTGTGTTCCTCGTTAGCTTTTTTTTTTTTTTTTAATAAACGGGCTGCTCTGTATTTGAAAATTGGATAACATAGTTAGTTATAAGGTTCATGATATATACACCTCCTTTTTTCTATAAGTACACATTCTTTTTATAAAAATAATTAAATTTTTAAAAAAATGTAAATTTTTTTTAATTTTACATCCACAACATATAATTTAGTACTTTTTTTCACACATCATTCTTCTTTTTTCTTTTTTTTTTTTTCAATTTTTACATGCACCCCTTTACCTTTCCTTCACCCTACCTATTTTGGTAGCATATAAAAATTAAAAAAGAAAAAAAATGTGTGAAAAGAAGAAGGTGTATATAAAGGAGGTTTATATATCATGAGGCTAGTTATAAAAATATTAAAGCCCGCATGTTTCAAATACAAAGGGGTGGCCCAAATTATAATGTCGACAAAAGCCCACATAAATCATTAGTGTTAGAAAGACAGTTGAAGTTTAATATATTGATCTCGACCCTTAAAAAAGTTAAATAAGTTAATACAAGAGAAAGTAGATGATTAACTCACGGTGTAAAATAATTATATATTATTATGTAAATAAAAATCATCATTTATAATAAATTATTAACTTTTATAATAAATAAATAATCATTTCAATAGTAACTTTTGATTGATTGACACTGTTACACTATTTTACACTATCAATGTATGACTATTAAACTCTAAAATAAAATGTCAATTTTAAATTAAAACTAAATTTTGTACCAAAGAAAACCCATTTATTTTAAAGATATTTTAAGAACTTGCACACACGTTAACTAACACCCACTTATTTTTTAGAAGTTAGCTAGTAAATTATAAATACAAATTTTTTGAATTCCACCGAGATGTAACTTGCTAAATATGTTCTTCTAAAAAAACTAACTACTAAAAGACAACTGGGGGAGTAAGCTCCCAAATGTTTGTGAGATTTGTTATCATACACTCACTTAAAAAAAAAAAAAAAAAAAAAAAAAAAAAAAAAAAAAGGGAATATATTAGTAAATTTTAACACTAATATTTTTTTATAGTGCACCAAGGTATTGTTTGTTATCTTACACTCCTAAATAAAAACAAGTAAATGTACAGGACTTTAATCATTACAAAAAAGATCAGGACTTTAACCTGAACGAAACTATTAATTAGTATCATCGGGTGGATAATCTTTGTTCTTTCACATTGGGTGCATCCAATTCACCTCAAATTAGTAAACTAAGAACAACTTTAATATGCCCACGAATCTCAAACAAATTATTTTTCAAACATACTAGTACGTTATCTCCGAACGACTTACAATTTACAAGGGAAAGAAAATATACAGATGTCGTTGTGATGCACCATGCTATTAATAACAACCTACTGGCGTGAACTATCCTATGAAAATTGCAATATCACTATTTTATTATACTTTTGTGATCATTTTAAAGAATATCCCCTATCGCAACCCACTTTTGTGATGAGATTTAAATAAAAAAAAATGTGCGAGACATTCGGGTGGATGAAATTGGAAATATAGGGACATAGGAGCTAAAGATAAAGAGAGTTTACATTACATTAAAGTAAGTTTGGGTTCAGGTATTTACGGAGACCTTGCAATGAGGCCCTAGTACCAAAGAGAATCCAATGGAAAAGTTTGTTATGCTAGACGACGGGCAACAAAAATATAAAAATAAGGAGCCAAAAATGTACCATCTGTATTTTCATGCGTGAAAACCCAAAGTTTGTCCGAACCATTTATGATATACATCATTTGTAGACACATGAATCTGTCAAATTAAGATGTTTTCCAAGTTTGTTGCCATGCAAAGTGACAGAACATCTGATTCTTCGATAGAATTTAGACTTAACCAATCTTCCCAAGATGAAAGCCCTCGATCTCACTACAAACGTCAGGTTGAGTGGCAATGCAACATTGTTCAAGTGCTCTTTCGTGTTCCCCAGAACAGACACCCCACCATAGAGCGGAACCTGGTGTCCTAACACCACTACCGCCAACTTCCTCTGACTTTTCCTCGACTGATAAAACTTGTGCACCTGTGTTACCCAATGCAAAAATTAATAAAATGGTTGCACAATGGAGAATGTCCTTGTCCCGAAATATCTAACAACACATCTAGCAGCTATTCACTTTAGAAGACATACAGTGAAAATAAATCATTCTCATACTAGTAGCTATTCCATTTTATTCTGATTAAATAAAGTAACAAATATATATAATTAGCGTGAGCGTGAACCCATAAATTCAAAGGTCTAGCTTGACTAAAAATGAAACAAGTTAAAATTCCATTTGATGAGGGAAAATAAATCCCAACAAGTAGCGGTGAAGCGTGTGTGGGTATCGATTATCGAGTATCGAGGAGAAGTGTAATCGTAATTGGCAGCAATGCAATAATATGTGGGAAAGTCACGTGACGGTGTCTGAGTGTGTGTGGTGTGCATTGATGAAAAATGAAAATGAATGAAAAAAGTAGCTTAGTGGGTCCCTCTCCCTCCGACTAGGAAGAGCAGCCTTAACACAGAGGCCAACGAAAGTGAAGGGACGATTGTCCCCACACGCAGGCGCAGTGCCCAGTGCCCAGTGCCCAGTGATCAGATTCATATTTCATGAATTCATGCAGGCGAGGCGAGGCGACCCTTTGGCTTGGCTTTGGGGCAAGACGTAGCCAACTCCAATGCCTTGGTTAAATTAAGATATTAAGAAATAGAAAAGTAGGTAGAGGTACCTGAGCAGAAGCTAGTGCAAGCTGGTAATAGGAGAGAAGAAGAGGGGTACAAGTGACGTGAACGCCGAAGAAAGTTGCAGGATTCCTGTACACAATTCTGACCGTTGAGTTCAATGACAACATGTCCGTTGGAACCCCACTTCCATCGTTCCCTGACTGTACATTCAAATTCTCCAACACAATGCTCTGTCCTCTCAACTCAAAAATGTCAAATGTCAAATATCAATCATAAATCATAAATCATAAATTAATTAATTAAACGATGGGTGGGACTTGGGACTCGGGAGGAGTTGCTACTTGTTAGGGTTAGGGTTACCTTCACAGTGACACGTGGCTTGTAGCCCTTGCTGGCGCCCCAGAGGATGACGGAGAAGAGCGTGAAGAGCATCACGAAGAGCAGAAAGAAGCACAAGTACAGGCGGAGGTTGCGGGAGGACTGCTGGAGGAGGTCGTCCTCCTCGTCCTCGTCGGCAGCGGCGGCCGCGTCGTGGTGGGGGTGGGGGTGGAGCTTCTTCCAGGAGGAGGAGAAGTGGCGAGGGTTCTTGAGGGAGGTGGAGGACTCGCGAGAGTGGTGGATGGGGGAAGAGGTGTAGTAGTGGAAGTGGTGGTGCGGGGAACCCATGGGGCTTGAACCGTACGACATTTTCTCCACGTCGTGGTTCGAAGGGCTCTGCACGTAGTACAGTGGCCGCGGCGGCGGAGAACGCGGCGGCGACGACGACTGCTCCATGCTGTTGCTCGTCACCTCCGAGTCCGATTTCCTGTGCATTCTTCCTCCCATTTTCCTTCTTCTCTCACACACTCACACACACACACACACGCTATTAAACAAAATACAACTATGCCAATGCCACTTACCGTTTCGCTATTAATTTATTACTAATATTCAATCCAATAACTTTTTATACACTGCACGGATCTTCCATTTAATGCAATTCCATACAACTCTATTCTCTTTTTACAAATAATTTAATTATTCTCTTTGACTATGCCCAAACCGGCTTACACTCTATTTCTTTTTTACCACAAATTCCTACCGTTTCTCTTCATCAGAGTTCAAATACCATGCATTCACACTCTCATCCTTCTTCACCCGTCATCTCGTTACAAATCATTATGTATTTTTCCAAATATTATACATGTTGTGATTTATGTTGGCTTCATATTAAACTCGTAAAAAATTTGTCAAATTAAACATATCATGCGTGGTATAATGATTTATAATTAGAACAAAATGTAAATTAATTTTAAACTATCATTTAACAAGTAATATTTTATCAATCAGATACAAAATATTGTAGAGAGACAATAATGCTTTTTATTTAACATTTAAATATGAAATAAATATCTTTGATATTTATGAAACAATTTCAACAAATATTAAAGGAAATAAATTAATATTAATGATTCATTTTAAATAAGGTAACTTAATATTAAAAAATATTACATGTAAAACATATAAAAAGTATTTCTATAAATACAATATATATATATATATAGTCATAAATTTATTTGATATATACCGATACAAAATTTCAATGCTGATTTTGAATGAAATTTAACAATATATATTATGTATTATTATAAATTATATCTACATTTTTTAACAATATATCAACATATAATGTGTCTATAGTTTACATAAGCATATTTTTTAGTAACAATAATGTGTCATTACATGCAATTTTTTTTTATAATGATACAACATTAAGTAATTAATTTAAAAATATATTTTTATTTTAATACATTCCAATTAAATTCTTGCTATAAATAATTTGTTGATATTAGTTTATCCAAATTCAAATTCTATAAGTAAAATTTTGAATTTGAGATTACTATGCATGGAAAAGATTATGATTAGAAAAAGAAACTTCACTAAAAATAATCAACTAAATTTTTTACAAAGATTAATCATTATGAAAATTTTGCACCAATAGTATGATAACTTAAAACAAATCTAGCTAATTTGAATTAAATGAATAATATTATTTTTAAGTTAATAAATAAATATGTTATATTGTATTTCAATAGCAAATTATCATATTCATATATATATATATATATATATTAATTATATTTATTGACTTTTACGTTAATTATGGTGAAGGTTATTTTAAGATTTTTATTTTATGTTACTAATTCACAGTATAAAACTTTTCCACAGTAGTGTAAAGATTAATCTAAAAGACATTATGAATGATTAACTTTATAAAATTCTTTACACCAATATATTGAACCATTTCGGAAAGAGCACTTTTGGCAAAACTCATCATGACCAAACATATGATTCATGTACACAATATTTTTGAAAATCGAGAAATTTTCAACATATTTTTATTTTTATTTTAAAGTCAGAAGTTACTCTCAATTTTTACTATCGGAGAAAGGGAACACGCGCCGGGCTAGAAAGTAGAAAGGTTACCATATTTGTGTGTCTTAATTTTTGTACTAAAAGCAGATGGTTGCCTTCTCCATGAGTTTTTGTTTTATTCCTGGTGGCTTACAGTTGTTTTTTTTATTTTTTATGCACAAATTTGTCGATGCGTATAAATTGTCAAAATAAATTTGGCCTTTTCTTAACAATTTTCTCCAAAGACATGGTCAAGGGGTGGAACCGTGGAAGTAACTGTTTTGTCCTGTTTGATTAAATGTTTGAACGTAACTTTTTTCATAAACATACCCCCAAACTTAGGTTATCTAAACTGTTTCGGAGGTTGTTGGTTCTAATATGTCACAGTTTACGCTACTTTTGCATTGATCCGTTGCTATGGAAGCACCAAACACGCTAATATGTCTCCTTTTACCCTTTCCATATTTTTATGGTGATTTTTGCAATGTGGTTGAATTGATGAGGGGCATGAATGGAATGTTGTGGACTTTGAGCCCTGTGGGGCCATTCTCTTGAAGTTTCCATAGATTAAATAGCACAAGTCTAAGTCATGGCTTACGGTTTTGCGCCGGCAATGGTGTGTTGGAATTGGAGGAGCATTTGGTGAGACGCGCTTTCTATGAAGAGGAATGTTAACAACTACAATACTTATACAAGTACTACTTTTTATTCTTTAAATATTATCATACGTGTAATTAACTCTCTTTTTTTTACATATATAATAATTAAAATGGCTCCACAAGATCGTTTTGGGTTGTGTAGATTTTGAATGGTTTGGATGGTTGGGCCTATAGATTTAGTTGAAATAAAAATCCAAGGGCTTAAGTTACCAGAATGGCACGCTTTTTGTGGTTCAAAGGTTTCTATCAAACATGAACTAGTTGAAGCGAATGTTAGCTGGGAAGAGAAGGAGCATAGCAATGTGGGCAACACCACATAAATTTCTCAATGACCTGTCAAATCCCTTCACTCCCGGAATATGTATGCATCCAAAACAAACAAATTCATGCCACTTTTACTTTCACATTACCTTATTTTACCATTTTAATCACTTTTTTTTTTCTTTTCCAACGAGATTTATTCTTTCTCAATTTTCTAAACATGTCAAATGTGAAAACATCATATAAATTGTAAACATCCAGATTGGTAACTTATTTCTGGCTCGTGAACTCAATGGCTAACTTTGGTAAGTATAAGTTATTTTAGACCCTTATGATATGCATTTCACAAATTAGTTCCTCATACTAATAAGATGACATTATATGAAAAATGACTCATTTCTACGGATATTGTCTTCTTACATACACCATAATCGTGATAAAAAAAAAATTACTTTCTTTTATAAGCATTTAATGTAGGTAGAATTCAACTACATATTCTTATTATTGTTTGTTGCAATTAAAATCTAAAAAGTTGTTGTTATATAAATAACTAACATAATAAATAAATAATGTGAGTTAATGTATAAATATAAAATAGATATTTATTTACAAAATTTTAATTTTTAGTGGTGATTTTTTTATTTATCATTATAAGTCAATTTTTTTAATGTAAATTGATTTATATCTACATTAAACTTAAAGATTATATTGATAATTGGTTTTACCTATTAAAGTGACTAATTTGATAATGTTAAGACACAAATAATATTAACTCTAAAAGTTAAATTGATTGACAATTAAACTCGGTGACTATCTATTATTTAAAAAAATTTAAATATATTTTTAGTCTTTAAATTTGTTTTTATTCCATAAATTTAAAGTTATTTTCAGTTTTATAATTTTTTAAAATATTATTTTATTCTCTTAGATTAATAATAATAAATCTAAAAGTGACAACTTAAAATAGTTATATAAGTTTGATATGATTTTTTTACTAATAAAAATACTAGTATATAGATTTTATGGAACTATATTTATCAAACTTTTTAATAAAATTTGAGTATAAAAACTAAAACAATATTTTATAAAATTATAGAAACTAAAAATAATTATTTAAATTTAAGAAATAAAAGTTATATTTATTTTAAATTTAAGAAACTAATAATATATTTAAATCTTTTAAAGATATTAAGATCTAAATAGACAACTTCTTATTCAATGGAATCAATTTCAAGAACTTTAGGTAACATTTATATTTTAAGAATATAAGAAGATATTTTACTATTTTTTTAAAGTAACATAGAAAGGCAAAAAATATCATGTTGAAGGGGGGAAATTCGAATGTAAGAGAATCTTGAAAATATATATAAAAAAATCACTTTATTTCTACACTTTTATGTGAGAGTAAAGCTTTATTGAAAAAACTACAAATAGTACTAATTAAACATATTTAAAATATATATTTTTCTTAAAAGGGTGAATTAAAAAATAATTAAGGCTAAAAATCTTAGTTAACACGGTTCACGACACAATTTACAGAGCAAATAAAGACAAGAGAATATTTCTGACATAAGATACAACACAAGTTAGATGAATTATGACTCATGAGAATGAAAATGTTTTTTTATAGTATTTTTTGATTTTTATGATAATTTATGAAAATAAATAGTACATATGAAAACTATTATCTTGTATAGACTAAATATTTATTCTATATAAATAAACTTATAATAAATTATGTATATAAATAAATACATAAATTATACTAGTTTTATATTTGTATAAATATATCTTATAATAATAAATTATATTTAATATTTGTAAAAAAAAACATTTTATAATGTGACACATTTCTTAATTATTAATAAATTATTAAATTTTATGAGTTTATATGATTGGTGCAAAGTGAAATAGATAAGATGACACAAGAATTCTTAAACTTTTCTTATAAAAAAGTACTTAAAAATAATTTTTTTAAATTTAATCCTTAAAAATATTCTCATGTAAAATAGTTATCTTCATATTTAATATATAGGTGAATAATTTAATTTTATCTTTTTATCAATATAATTATATATATATATATAAATAACATTAATGAATTTAATTGGTTTATTTCCAAGAAATATGAAATAAACATCATCAATAAACTGTTTTTCTTTTGAGTTAAATCCACCCATATATATATCTCTCTCTATAAATAAATAAATATATATATATATATATAATTTTATCAGTACACGTACTCAAAATGTTTGATCTTTCATTGCTAAAAACTTAGGTATTAAATGATTAGCTTGGTACAAAATATATATAACGTTAATTGTAACTAACTTTTTGGGAAAAAAAACAGTAGTATACAAATGTATTTACTTTCAAAATCCTAGTAATAACCATTTTTGAAAAATTATAATAATCTTAAAAAAATTTGTATCTTTTAGTGTCCATTAATATACTTGGATAGATAGCAATGGAAGTTGACATGATGTTGTCACTCAGGCACAGTGAGCAAGCGATGGAAAACCGTATACTTGAATGCTCAAGAAAAAAAATTTCTATCAGTAGGCTGAGATATTAGGAATGTAAATATTGGACCCATGTCATAATGGAAATCTCAATAATGTTGCTAGGTAGCCTATTCTTCAAAT